AATAAATAAAAATAAAAAAAAAATTTAAAAAAATAAAAAAAAAAAAAAGAAACCAGCTGATCAGCCTGAAGATTTAGCCTTGCCTTGGTTTGAATAAAAACCAAGACCTTAAGTGCATACAGCCAGTAGTCTAGCTTTGACATTGGAGGTGAGCAGGGCCAAGTGAGTGTAAAGGGGTGTGAGTGGTAAACGAATGCCCTGCAAATAGCATAAGGAGTTTTTATAATGTTGAATGTAGATAATTTGAAAACTGACAGTCTCCTTTCAGAATTGCATAGATGATGACTCTTAGAATGTGTTTTACTTGAATACTATTTGCTTTAACCCTAGAGGCAGCTTATTACTGCTCGTAGAGTTATTCTCGTGGTTGGTGACTCCCTACTAAATGCTGAGCATAGGTTAGTGTTGATTTAAAATACTTGACAGTCTGATACTGCCCGGAGCACCACTCAGAGCACTCAGCGACAGCATGTAAAGGGAAAGTCTCTCTGGTTTTCTTTTTTTCCTTGTCTGAGTCAGTGCTGGACTTTGAGGATTCTGGAATCACAGCTGGAATTTCTTTTTAAATATTTAATCATGCAGGATGCAGAGACAGCTAGGTGATCTAACTGCCTGTCAAGCAGTGTCCAGAGCTTAATCCCTGGTACTGCATGCTGTGGTGTGGTGATGCACGCCTGTAATCCCAGTGCTGGAGAGGCTGAGACAGGAGGCTCACTATGAGTGACCTATGTAGCAAGACCCTGTATCAAATAAATTTAAAAAAAAAATTTAATCTTATCCCCAGGCCTGCTGTGCCGGCCCCGCCCCTGGGGCATGCTGAGACAGTGATTGAGACTGGGTGTGGTAGTGCACACCTGTAATCCCAGCTCTTGGGAGGCTGTAAACAGGAGGATCACTACAGATCCGATCTAGATCGGATCTAGTAGTGAAACCCAGAACACCCTGTAGACCCTTCCCTAAAATACAAAAAAAAAAAAGATAAAATAATTTAATCTTGGATAATATCAAAAAAATTGCCCACAAGGGGCCAGGGAGATGGCTCAGTGGAATAAGCGCTTCCCTGGCAAGTGCAAGGGTCTGAGTTCAATCCCCAGTTCTGCAAAAAAAAAAAAAAAAAAAATTGCCCATTTATCTCAATTTTATAAAAAGAACATTGTGAGTCTTCAGTCTTACGCTGGTTAAAATAGTTACACAGAAATAAAAGTGGAGATATGATCATGTTTTAGTTAACCAGGACTCAAGTAATTAGAATATAGCCCAATATTGTTCAACTTGATTTTTAAGGCGCCTCTGACTCATTGTGAACTGCAGCAAGGCCTAATTGTCCCTGCTAGATATTTGTGTATAAAGATGAATGAATCATTTATTACTGCCAGACATTGAAGTATTTAAAAAAAATAAGTCTTCAATGAAGAGAATAGGATATTAATTTTTCTATTTTTCTTTCTGGCCACATTAATATTTTGTTAGTGTTATTCAGAGCCTCTGCTAGATGATGTATCTGTTACTTGAGAAGGCCCATTCTAGCAATGAACGACCACAGAGTTCTTCACATATCAGAAGAATCTTTGGAATTTATTAGTGTATGACATGTGGTTTTCATATCCCTGACTGAAATAAAAAAGCAACTCATATGCTCAAAGTAGCGCTGAATGTATAAGCTTGATTTGTTTTGGGGGGGTCCACTGGGGAGAATTCTTTTTCTGAATGTTTTTTGAAGAGAGGGAAAAAAAATGATACAGAATTTCAAAACAAAATGAGAAGAAATTGACAATGGTTACTATTATCTTCAAAAATTGTTATCTTCAAAATAGTTGCCAAGGGCGCCCAAATAGCTTAGAGCCTGCTGTGCTGGCTCCACCCCCGGGGCTCACTGAGAGGGTGATTGAGACTGGGCCTGGTGGCGCACGCCTGTAATCCCAGCACTTCGGAGGCTGAAAATGAGAATCCCTGCGCAATGAGACCCTGTAGACGCTGTCTTAAATCCAAAAAAGAAGCTCAGATTACAAGATATAAGTAAGCACTGTTTCTTTCAGTGAGCTGATAGGAATCAGTACTGCAATGATCTTAGCTATTTTGTTTGTGTGGGGTTTATTTTCCCTTTCTTCTTTTCTCTTTTCCCCCATTCCAGTTGTTTTTTCCTTTTGAGCATCCCCCCCCTTCACAGTATCTATTGTACCTTTATTTTTATTTTTGGCGATACCAGGGTTCGAACTCAGGACCTTGCACTTGCCCCGCAGGCACTTACACCATTGAGCTATATCCCCGACCCCCTTTGTACCTTTTGGATCTTATTTACTCTTTCAGTTACTTACACAAATAGTACTAGAATGTTTAATTTATCTATGTGACAATATAATAAAAGCTATATTTCACCTCATATACTCAAAAATCCAATCAATATTAAAAATCTAAACAGAGACATTTAAAAATTCTAGTAGAAAATCATCATCTCAATATGGAGA